TGCGATTTGTAGACTTTTTAATGATGGCCATTCTGATTGGTGTGAGGTGATACCTCATTGTAGTTTTGATTTGCTATTCTCCAATATTAGCGATATTGAGCATCTTTCAAACTATGGTTACCAAAGGGGAGTGGGGGAGGATAAGTTAGGAGTTTAGGATTAACAGATATTAGGATTAAAGATAACACATTATTATATATAAATAAACAAGGATCTACTGTATAGCACAGGAAACTAATATTCAATTTACTTTGTTTAAGTACTATAATGGAAGAGAATCTGAAAATATATGTGTGTGTGTATGTGTGTGTGTGTGTGTGTGTGTGTGTATACACACACACATATGTACATGTATAATTGAATCACTTTGCTGTACACCTGAAACTAACATTGTAAATTAACTATACTTCAATTAAAAAATAAAATTAAAAATAAAGGCTCAAATTCTTACAAGGACCCATAGGGACTCAAAGTCATCATAATTTGGGTTTTAATGTAAACATAATCTTACAAATATTCAGAGGCTGAAAAGGCACATGACATTGGAATTATATCAGGAAGAACTTTTTTGCCATCTGATATTCAACAATAGACTGTGCAGTAATAAGGCTCTTCCTACTAGAAGGACTCAGCTAGAGATTAGATGAGCAACTGTCAGCTGTAGAAAAGACTTCTGTGCAGGTGGGATTTCAAAAGCTTCTTCCTACCTATGGCTTTGTGAACCTCTGATTCTAAATAGAATAGCCTTTACAAACTAATGTGACTTCAGATTTCGAGATAGCAAAGTTTTCCTGAAAAACCAGGGAAAAACAAGAACAGGCATTACAATACTTGCAATTTGGTGGCTGGACTTTCTAGTTTAACTCACTTCATGCCTGGCTCTTTCCAGTTTTCTTTCTGTTTCCTTTGCATGTAAAATCAGCTGTGGTTTTGAGTGAAGTGGAAGCTATTAAAATGCTCTAGAGGCAAGGGAAATGATTCTTAATACTATTAGAATTTTAATCAGAATTTGGTGAACAAATCTTGGGGAATACTAACCTTATTTGCTACAAAGATTAAAACATTTCTCTGTAGAAAAACAATCATATATATCATTCTGATTTCTCCAGTGCTCTGCATATTTATGTTTCCAAGAACATTTCATCCAGAGACTGAGCAACTTGGGGAAATAGAATTACAGCTGGGCTCTCCAAGACACTCACATGTGTGATCAACCCTGTGGACATGCTTGGAATCTGTCCCTGGCCCAGGATCAGATATATACATAAACTCCTCACAAACTCATACCACATTTTCAGCCTATCTGTTTCCAAGAGTCATTCTTCACAAATGCTGGAAGGTTGCTTTATGTTTTACTCATTTAATAATGACCCACATAATCTGTAATTTTTTATACCTTGGGAGTCTTTAAGTCTCACTTAATCTCTGTCTGCTCTGCCTTTCACATTTGGTTTTTCTTTTAAGCCATCCCCTCTCCCAGCATAAACTATAATGAAGTATCAAATAAACACTCTGAAATTTTACCAATTTTTTTCACAAATTCATTTAGCAAACATTTGTTGAAAAAGCCCATACACCAATAATTTGCCAAACAATAAGTTAGCACTACATGACATTGCTCCTCTTGCTGTGCGTGTTCCTCTTTCTAATTGTATGTGTTCCTATTTCTTGTGAGTTTTGTACTTTGTTTTCTTAAATACATGATAAACTCTTTGTGGGCAAGGTTAATATTCCCCATATGGTCTAAGATTGTCTGTAATGTACTAGAGATGCAATAATATTGTCCAAGTTTATTTTAAACTATCAATACTTATATGTTAAACATGGCAAAAGTCAACAAAAGGAATGCATCAGTAATCAATGATAATATTCGCTAATATCTGTTGAGTGTCAGCTATGTGCCAGTCACTTTAAGTGCTTTTCATGAATTAACTTAATTAATCCTCACAACAACCCTCTGATATGGGTATTGTTATTATTATTATTTCTCTTTATGAGAAAATTGATGCACAAATGTTATATAATTGGCCCAGGGTCCCACCTTAAGTAAGTGCTGAAGTCAGAATTTGAACTCAGATCATCTACCTGCAGAGCCTAGATTTTCAACCACAAATGTGTACTGTGCCCAAAGACGAACAACAAATTGAAGGACTTGGAAAATGCTTTTTTTCTCCCTTTGTTTTATAAAATTTTTCACCTGGAATATCAGATATTCAAAGGTGGCAAGGAAATTGAATAAGTGTCTTCCTCTCTAGCATCACCACCAAACAAGCGTCCTCCACCCTTGTACACAGGCGGACAGCATTCAATAGAGGCAGCACTGCAGTTTCTCTCTCAACAGTGATAAAGGCAGTGAGAGAACCCAGGCCTTGAGCCCTTTTATTGCACCTGGTAGGACATGGCTCTATATCCCCCAAATAAGAACAGACCCCCTCCAAACATCTCTCTAATATCTGTTACTCAGGGATGAACATCCTACCTCAAAACTTCAGGCTAACTCATGTTTCTGCCTTACTTTGAGATAAAAGTACATCAAGATTATATTTCAGTTCAATTCCTTTTCTATACACAGTTCTTTGAATATCTGAGACATGCTCACTCTGTCATTCTTTCTTTCAACAAACTATTATTCACCCTCCTTTCTGTGCCTGATATTCTGTGTGACTGGGACCATGAGACACTCCAAATCCCTGCCCTCATGGAACTTACAGTTTATTCAAAAGATAGGTTATCAACATACAACTGCATGGGGAGGGAAACAAAAGGCCTCTCTTGTACAAGTAAAGTATGTCCATTTCCTAAAACCATTGATTCAAATATTTATTCATTCAGCAAACATCTATTAAGAATATAATATGTACAGGATGCTATGTGTTGGGTAATTGTCCTTAGTAAAATACAGTCCCCAGAACTGAACACAGCGTCCCAGACATGCTTGACCATCACGGAGTGGCACAAGAGCCTTCATCTCCCTGGCTCCCAACCCGGACAACAGCTTATACTGAACAGTACTTGGTATTGTGCCATAATCCTCTCCTGAGGATTATTATTATCCTGAGGGCTATTATGAGAACTACTTCTATAAAACCTGTCTCCAGATTTACTGTGAGTATACTCACATGGAAGCCTTTCTGGATGCCTAGGAGAAACTTCTCTCTGGATGTACATCAATAATACCTGTGTTACTTAGAAGTACCTGGTTTTCTTTTATGGCATGGACATTATGACCATTATAAGTGATTCTACTCCTAGTTGGCTGCTAGCATATATAAATCAATTTTGAGGATCCCCTTCTCTCCATAATTTATTCAGCGATCCCTACCAGTCCACCCAAGCATGTGTACAGGACTTCATGTCAGGCATTTTTCTCTGTGTGCACAGTTCCTCTTACTGTTCTGTGTCAACTTTCTCTTTGCTTAATTTTTATTTATTTTTGTACTTATTTGATCTTGTCATAATATACACCACTCCTTGAGTTACTTATATCTTGTTAAAAGCAAGATCTGGAGGAGAAAGGATTAACTTGACATCTAGCACGCTAGATGATGGATAGATGGTGATGATGACAGACGGACAGACAGCAGGCAGGCAGGCAGCTGGGTCCTTTAAAATTCCTTGAAATTGATATTATGCTTCTAACACTGCTGACTAAAATTTTACGTGTTGATAGGTTTTAGCCAATACTGTCCTCTATTTAAGTATGATCCTTTGCACTGAGCCACTATAAACCTGAACTGAACTTACCCTCTTTGATTTTTCCCTCTTGTGTGCCTCTTACAAACTCTCTCTTTTCTCTTCAGCCCCATTTCCACTGTCCATGTCCTGATCTCAAGGCTCTTCCAAATATCCCTGTAGCAAGTTCAAGTGAGAGTTTCTGCCACATTCACAATGATTTCCAAAGAGACTATCTCTATGCTATACAAACTCTCTTCTTTGGGGGAAACTAGTCCCCCTCCCTCATCCTGTTAGGCATGTGGTCTGAATAGTAGCTGCCAATTTCTTGCTTGACCTGACCTCCATGGCCACAATATTTGACTTAAAGTACTATAACATTTAAAAGGTATTTGGCTGCAGGTAATCAAAACTG